TCAGTTACTAAACAATTTTGTTTTTATTTCACTTTAGGGCAGTGTGTTAAACTTTCTTCAAACAGAAAGATTTAATGAAAAGTATGGTCTTCAGTGGACTTTATGGGGAGGTAATTTATTTCTTAACAAGTAACTTATGATAACCTTTAACTCCCTAAGAGTGACCAGCTTCTAATTTCTCCCCACAATATCACCCCTGAATCAAACATGAAGGTCTTAAAAATAACAAAGATGATCACTAATTTAACAAGTTATTGGTTGTTAACCAAATTCTCCATCTCAGTACCCAGGGAAATATATACAGAAAAGGAATATGCAACCTTATGTTTGGGTGTAAAGGGTTAATTTCTGTTAACTGTTATGTGATGCATAATGCCATGGTGTTTCATTGTTTTGTACAACTTATTGATACACATCTTTATAGAATTCACCTTAGTTAGCAGATTGACTTTTGGGAGTTAACCAACTATTAATCTGACTAGTTATTCCATTCCAGTCTGTCTTTTGGGTCTCAGTATCTTTTAAGTTCCATACAAATATATTATTCCAGCCAGGGCCCTTTTTAGATAATTCCATGACTAGTTAGTGAGCCCCTATAAATTCCTTGTTCCTAAAACTTGCTGAGAATGCTTTCTTTATTGAACTTAATTCTGTGTAAGTAAGAAAATAATATAACCCTTTGACTCCTATGTGTGACTAGCATCCAATTACTTCTCACATTATCACTTCTGAATCTCACTTAAAGATGACAAAATTAAAGGAAATGATCACTAGCCAAAAACGCCCTTAATTGTTAAACAAATTCTCCTCCTCAGGACCTTAGGAAATGTGTAGAAAACAGCATAGAGAATATACATACTGATGTTAGGGTGTAAAGGGTTAAACACTCTTAATGACTATTTTTTTTAATAAGGAGCCATCCTATGTGGAGTGGGTGTTGTCTGTGCTGTTGTAGCATCATTAATGGACATTATTGGGCTGAAGCAACTCAACAAAGTATGGCTTATAGTTATTCATTACACTGAAAATTCTTGGAAAAAGCAGTTTCAGCATTTACTTTGCAGAAAAGATTAGGCATTAAAATCTCTCTGTGGTTACAAATTCACATAATCAACTCGGTTGATAAAACCAAATTATCTTGTCATACCCCTCTATTTGACACAGAACCACAGTTTCTTTCAAAACTTACCCTATAAATATATTTGGCATCAGAGATCAGGGAATTTGCAAGCTATGTAATTTTCAGCTAAATTTCAGTGGCCTGAACTATTTTTAATTCAGATGAGAAGAATATTCTCATCTTATTTTACACAATTCTCTTGCTACCATATTGCTTAATGAAAACCTTAAGAGACTTGAAAAATACAAGTTAGGTAATAATTAGTTTCTTTATTCTTTGACTGACAGCAAGTAGAGATGGAAATTGAGTCAAAGAGAATGGTAAGTAATTTTTTACACTAAGTGCGGTCAGTACACTGGTGCCTCTGTCAGTTCTTTTTGTCCAATCATCTTCTGACCTTTCCTTAGTTTTACTTTTGTTTTGATTGTTGTGTTTAGAGACTCACAGACATCAAGTACTTTTCATCGTCTTTCTGGCTTCTGGCATTCTGTCTAATGTTTTTCTACATTGGTGTATTTCCCTTCATTGCAAATGCCAGGTAATTTTTCTCTTCTATGGGACTGTAATTATGAAGTTGACATAACTTTGAAAGCATTTTAGAATTAAATCTTAGGACCACATACAGACTGATTTATCACCTATGTCAGAACCCTTAAAATGTTACTTTGTAAAACATTTTGTACCTTTTCAATTGTCTTGCAGTAAATTCATTTATGTGAACTACAATGAGACTTTCCGCTTTACCAAGCAAGAGTCTTCTTACATTGCGGGCAGTGTGTATATGGTGTCCATGATATTTGGACCTCTGATGGGACTATTTGTGGTAAGGAAAACAAAAACTACCTCAACTCTTTAACCCTTAAGCATAACTGACATCTAATTTCTCCTTACCATATCACCTCTGAGCCAAACATAGGGTCAGGAGAATAAAGGAAGAGATCACCAACCAAAGAAGCTCTTGATTGTTAGACAAATTCTCCTTGTCAGCTCCTGAGGAAATGTTTAGAGAACAGTATGGAGAATATGCATACTGATGTTAGGGTGTAAAGGGTTCAGAAGAAATTTTTAATTAATCTGTTGTATTACGGAGGTTACCAGTGGGATCATATAAAATCAACAGATACCACAGCTACAACTCTTATTAGGTACCTTCTCCCATGTAAATCTGGAATTTGTTGGTTCTGAGCACTTTGAAAATGACCTTCAGATGACTTATTGACCCAACCCTCTCATGTTTGCCCTTCTGCTGAAGTTTATTTTATGGACAAACTATGTTTATTTAGCTAGCTATAGTAAGTGCATGCAATACCTAGAACTGTTATCATCTGCAAAAGTCAGGTTTTTGAATGGTGGTCATAAAGTAAGGAGCTACCTTCTATTTATTGTCCTGCAGGATAAGTTTGGGCGTAGAGGGATTCTTATATTCCTTTGTTCAGCTTTAACAATACCAGTTTATGGATTTTTGGCATTTGCACCAAATGTTCATCCCCTTGTACCCACCATTTGGCTTGGCTTCACCTACTCCATGGCTGCAGTAAGTTAATCACTGGATAAAGAAGTTGTAAAATTTTAAATGCATGAAGTTATGATTTTAAGAATTAATTTGCTTCAGTTGGTAATGGTTCTGGTTACTGTGGTTCAAAGAGAACTACCTTAAAAAAATATAGATTTTGTCACTAAGAGCAAGCTGATATTGCTGTTAAAGTTTCTTTCTCTGCTGGTGTCAGTTTGTTTTCTACTGGTAATAACTTAAGGGTACTGGGGAGAAATGTGATGGTTGTTACAGCATGGGACAAGCAGGGATAAACATTAAATAAGTAGGTGCTCAGTAATTTGGGTATTCATGCAATTTGATTGCATTTCAATTGTAGTTTGAAACGATTATTAAAATTCATAGCGTTTTCTAGTTATTATAATATTTTGCAATACAATCAATTTACTTCTTCAAGAAGACTTAAGTTGTTTACTTTTTTCTTGTAGGCATCCCTTTGGCCATCATTCCCTCTTGTTGTGGAACAGGCAACTGTTGGTGAGTTAACAAAAACAGGAACCATTACTTTAACCTTAGCTCTTAGAAGATTTTGAATAGATGTCCTTCCACAATTAGCTTCCAGCCCTTTTAACCCAAAAAATGTTCAGATGAAAGGTTTGGCTAAATTGACAATGACTAAGAACCCTGTTTCATTAAAAAAAAAAAACGGCTAAACTTTGTTAAACAACTGGCCCCTTTTTTTTTTTTTCCTTTTTACCCTCATAGTAATTCTTTACATTGTTGCTGATTAGAAAGTGTTCTATCCCCCACAAAGGTACTGCTCTAGGATTAACAACTTCAATTCAGATGATTGGTATGGGAATAGCTAACATCGTTGTTGGAAAAATGCTTGATATTATAACGTAAGTAACATGTTCTATGTACAAACTTGTACAATGCATATGAGAACGTTGTGACAGGTTTTGAGGTAAACTGTTAATTCTGAGACTTCTTTTTTACATATATTTTTACTAAAGAGTTTTATCCTCTTCCAACTTATGGCCTGAGGTGATTATTTCAGTTACTAGTTACTCTTTTTTGACCTATTCTTGTAATTCCACTATCTTAATAGAAGTATGATTAACATAATTAAGATTTTTTTTTCTGATTTCAGGTCTCAATACAAATGGAAGTATGTTATGATTTTCTTGCTGGCCAATACCTTGGCTTGTGTGACGTTTGCCATTTTGGTGAATATTGATGATAGAAGAAAGGTAAATGGCAGCCACTGTGATTTGATAATTTAATCCTTTAACCCTCAGAAGTGATTTACTAATTATTCCTTACAATTCCAATGTTATCTTGTGAACAGGTTATGAGAACAAAAAAAGTTATTGGCGAGGGGATATTCTCTTGATAAAACACCAAATTCTCCCTGTTTTATTTATAAGAAATTATACAGTAGTCAGAAGGGAGAAATTATAATTGGATCTTGAGACTTAAAGAGTTATGTTTTAACAGGTATATCATTCACATATTATAACAATGACTTTTCCTAGGGACTCAAATCATTAAAGCCTACAAGTAAAAGCATTATATCAAAAAATGTTGATAACATAATAAATTACTACATGTTAACTGGTTTTTCCTGCTCTGCTTTCCTATCTAGGGAGGTGTATTAAATCACTCACCAAGAAAAAGAGATGATTCATTAATAGAAGGACCTGGCAACAATTATGGATCAATTTCAACGTCAGGATACACTAAAAAAGATGCACTTCTTTATGACTCCTCAGCATCCATCAATTAGATCCAAACAAACTTTCATAAGTATCAATCAATGTGTCTTTTTGTTTTACCCTTTTTTCCTTAAATCAGTTTTCACCATTGTCCAGAAAGTTCACATAATCAAGACTCCAGTGTAATTTTGTTTCCAGTATTATATCTCCAGATTTTGCTTGGATTTATAAATTGACAGAATAAATACCTCTTACTAACTGAGTTCAAGGTCTGTACTGTTTGTTATAGACCAAATTTTTCTCCACTCAGATTTATGGCCCTATTGAAGGCCATAAATCCAAGTGGGAACAATCAATGTTCCAAAACTTGCAAAACAGACTGAAAAAACAAGGCTAGTATAATATTTTTGATATCTCTGGGTTCAAATATAGAAGGAAGATTTCACTTCAAACAAACTTTAGATTTAGGGAAGCATACTGTGAAACAAGGCCCGCCAAATTGACCAATCATAACATAGGTAATAACTCTATACAAGATTTAATAATTTATAAAAAGGCTGAAAAATCATTAATTCTAATATTGATTTATTACAGTTTTTTATTATAAATAAAGTAGAATTTAAAATTGAGAAGAACAAGAATAAATTAAACACATAAAACTGTGTGCTGCAAAGTATCTGCTCTTTTTATCACATTGTGGTTTTCCTCTGAACAAATCAGGAAATGTTTTTAGCATAGTTTAATTAGCCACAGGGTGTCAAAGCTTCCTAGCATCTGATTTTGTTCTGTACTCTTTGTCTTTTTTTACTCTCCACTCGCAAATGTCTGCAAAGTCACATCTACTGCATTTCCAGGCTTCTTCTATTTCCACACCAACAGTTTCCCTTTCTCCTCTCCAGTATGGTAGCATTTTAATAAGCTGTGACTGTGTCCATTCTTTGTCCAAATCCATGCTAGTTCTACCAATCACTTGACAGGTTTCTTGCATGCAATACTCTACTGCTATTGAATTTAACTTTGGTATGTCAGACTGTTGGAATCTTCTTATTAGAAGATTGGTAATTTGAATGAGTTTGTCACACTGAACTCCACAGTCTCTTGCATATTGTGAAACATCTTTTGAAAGGATGGCATCTCCATTTAATTGAAGTTGTGATAAAAGCACTGAAGGGTCAGCCTTTCCTAAGAGCAAGTCATTAAACATAATGCTGTAGATCATTGCTTGTAAGGACGCCTGTCTTTGTTGTGCCTTGGATGGTAAGCTTTTCCTTTTCCTTGTTTTCAACTCTAACAGTTCTAACTGCCCCATCTCGTTGAAATGTACTTCATCAATAATTCCATAAACAAACACTCCCATGTTAAAAGGCCACCCAAAAACTGGAAGTTCTCGCACTGTTTGTTTTGCCTCAAGCAAAGCAATTTTACAAAGACAGTCCAAAAATTTGGTTGCCCACTTGTCCTCTTTAGACTCTACTTTGATCTCCACAAGGTCATATAATTCTTGTTCTGTGTGATAAAAAGTTTTAAGGCAATTAAATAATTAGTCAATGTTTACTCTTTTGCAAGACCTGTCTCAGCAGGATTGGGTATCAGATAGCAACAGGTGTTAGGATTCTGCCATTTCCAGGCTTAATGCAAATTGGAATGCACTTTTTTAATATATCAGAAACTTTTTTTATGATTGTTTTCATTTTTACTCAGTAACTTGAAGTAATCATTTCTTTGTTAGAAGGGTAATCCCCACCCCATTCCACCCTAAATCGTGTACACCATTCACCCCCCTCCACACCCCTTGGCTATGATTAACCCTTTACACCCTGACATCAGTGTGCATATTCTCCATAGTGTTCTCTATACGATTCCTAGGGTGCTAACAAGGAGAATTTGTTTAACAATCAAGAGGTTCTTTAGTTGATGATCAGATCTTTTACTCTCCTAACTTTAATGTTTGATTCAGAAGTGATATGGTGAGGAGAAATTAGATGCCAGTTACCCTTAGGGGTTAAAGGGTTATGGCCACCCAACCTCTTCATCTCTATCCTATTGCAAGGCTACACAGTACCTCTTTCAAGATGAATGAGTTTTCCCATTCTCATTGGCTCAGATTCTTGTTTAAGTTCTGGAGCTGTGAAGGCATACTCCATTTGCTGTTCACACCAAAATTGAGCAGTTAAATCACTCACACTTAAGTAACCACGACCACCTTTGAACTTTTCAAGAGGAGTCAAAGCCTCCTTAATCAAAGAGCAATTGATGTCCTCTCTGTGTTCAATGCTTTTGGTCTCTAGATGTAATAACATGAAATAAGAAACCTGTGAAAATATTATTTTGACTATTATTCATGAATTTTTTATCTCTATGCATTCCCAAACCTCTTTCGTTTGAAATATCTCAAAAGTGGTCCTCCTTATTGACTGTACTGTTCTGAGAATTTGGGGTTAAATCAAAGTCCATGAGTTGACTTATTCTACATTCTCATAACCTATCTGCTTGACATTGTATTAACGATTCAACAAGAAATTAAATTTTTGTCATAGTTTGTGACAACAATTGAAAATAAACAGGCGAGTAAACATCTCCCGGAAGACTTTCAGAATTACTCTGCAAGCTGTATAGTCGACCATTCTGACTAGAGCCTCCCTTCTACTAAACCTCTTCAAAAATATAGTGGCCTAAGCAGAGAAACGGGACCGTTAGAAAGAACAAAACCTGAGCAAGTGTAAAAAAGAAAAAGTCCATTAACTATACGAGATTTTGGCGCTATTCTTAGGAAGTTAAAATGGTTTTGCTTACCTTCCTGAGCAATCTGCATCATGGCGTTCTGAAGAGCTTCATCCAGAATTTGAAATTCTTCATCGCTGACAATCTCTACCTCGATAGAGTTATTTCCACTTTGAACTGGGTCACTCTCCTCAGGAATTTCTTCCATACTTGTAAAATCTTCAACAAGAACCCACCTGGTAATCGTTGTTTTGAATTTTTATTAATTTCTCAAATGACCGCTGACCCGAGCCGCTTTATTTCCCGCGTGTTTTGTCATGAGGCGACTTGCTTACTCACGTCTCTTCATTATAGCAACATTCTTCGACGATTCCTTCCGGTTCTTAAGGAAATTGTGTTTTTGAAACCTTTCCGCGTTGTAAACTTGACTTTTTTTGAGGATCTGGAATACTGATTTATTGGAGTAGTGGACAGCTGAGCATTAGCAAAATATCTTGGTGTCCAATTGAAAGAAATAGTTACCATGAACCCACCGGACCAGAATGGAGGTCATGTTAATAATCTTGACGGCGATAAAAAAGAGAAAAGGGTGTACAAAGTTGTTTTGACTGGAGGTTTGTTCCAATATTATGCTGAAATAACCGTTTAGGAGCTTCAAGGAGGCTTTGGTCGTCAATTTGAGGCCATGCACGCATAGTAATAACAAATTGTTTGTTATTGTTTACCTATCTAGAAGGCGTACTTCGTTAAACTAAAAACATTCAACAAAATTAAGCTCTTTTACCTTTTTTTACCATGAGGAGCTGTAGTTTGCTTCATACTTGAATTTTTACGAATTTATCACATACAATGCCGTGAACAGCATTGGGCAAGATTTAATCCCGTGCTTTTGTTTGTAAATAATTATCGCATGCTGGCGTTTTTATTAAATTCGACATAGGAAATCATCTCACTAAACTGAAAATATCAGAAATGTAAGTCAGTGGGAAGAAAGAGGTGATTTCTATTTTTTTTGTGTGTGTGTGATTATTTTAAAGGTCCTTGTGCAGGGAAAACAACTGTTCAAGCAATGATGTCAACTTTCTTTGAAAATCTTGGATGGAAGGTGTGAATATTTTATACCCCTAAGGGAATAAATCTGTACTTCTAAGAAAATTTGCCAAGAGTGTTTGCCAAAACGGAGGTCGAGAATCATCTGGTAGAGATATCTTCACTTGGTCCTAATTTTGATCCTGTCCTGCATAGACTGATGTAGACACCATCATTCATAACAATCATAACAACTCAAATTTCAATTTCCTCTTCCAAATGCTCATGACATTGCATATGGAAAACCTTATTAAAAAATTGTAAACATTATAGGGTTAGCACCATAACAGTTTGACAATTATTCAAGCTGTGAAGGGCATTTTTAACAACTGGGAATTTCTTTTGTGGAACAATGATACATAAACACCATTATTTTTATCCCAGTGCAATTCAAATGCAATTGTAGATGCCTCAATCAGCGGCAGGTTTCCATTGGAACATTTGGCAACACTGAAATGTGTCCTTAAGCTAGCCAAATGATTATGCATTGATATTATAATTCAAGTGCTTTCAACCAATAACAAAACTAGGCATCACATTTGAGAACAATTTCACTCTTCAATGACCACTAATCATTTTAACCCAAGTTTTAAAATAGTAAATGAATGAGGAACAAAACAGGCGAACCATTTGCATTTTAAGTACAATAGTTTGGGTTGATTCATATGTTTAGTAGCATTTCTTTTCCATTTTTGAAAGCATTTATTGGTGACCAAGTGTCAACCTGGTTGAGTTCCAACTTGCCTTTTAAAAAAGCATTTCTTATTATACTTGGCATTATATGCAAAAACAAATCATCAAACCTTTGGCAAATATTTACCTGTGACTATTGCTTTTGCAAATTCATGTCAGAATGATTTTTTCCAAACTTGATAATTTCTGTTTTATCGCCAGGTTTACAGAGTTCCAGAAGCAGCCACTGTATTGCTGGGGTAAAATTTATTGAAAACAAACAATCCACAACTTTATTTTATTTTAAGACCAAACACACTTTTCTTCAATAAATCCAAAAATTTAAAGATCAGATGGTGTGAAAAAATACTCTATATTTCTTCTTTTTTTTTTGTAATTTAGAAATTTAGAGATCAAAGTGTGTTAGAAACACTCTATATTAATTTTTTTAAATTTAGAAATTTAGACATCAGATTGTGCCACCAATAATTTATTAAAAAATTTTTTTTGTATAGTGGCGGCGTGAAGTTTCCAGATCTCAGTGAGCAAGAAGGTGTGTAATAAATTGGGAGCTTTGCTTACTATCAATCATCTTGACTAGTCTTGTTATAAATGTGCCTATGAACTAAGGAGCCAGCCTTTATTCATCGCTGAAGTAGGGAGGGGGAGTTTGAACGATTTTGGTCATGTTTTAATAAAATTCACATGATTCCCCTTAAGGCTTTGTGGCATTCCAATGATCCCCCTTGTCTATAGTCCATCCTTAATACTCTTTCACTAGCAACTGACCCTGCTCCATTTTCCTTGAAAACCATGTGATTCTCTTCCAAAAAATCCTCGGACCCTCCTCACCCTCCTGTGACAAATGATAAGTGGTCCTCAAGTAATGAAAGTGAAGAGGCCTCCGACTTTTTATATCCTCTTTTTCTAGTGTATAACTTTCAGGAAAATTTAATACGGACAATGCTGCAGTTGGAGCAGACATTCTTTGACCTCGCTTCCACAAGCAAGACAGACACAATAGTGATTTGTGACCGAGGGGCTATGGATCCTTCATCATGTAAGTCAACTGAACAGTTACCCTACAATTTTTTTAAATTTCAGATCTCTTTCCTGGGGAAGGGAATAGAAACCTTGAAGGAGGAAGAGGAACGGTTCTGGGTTATGTTCAATAGTATGTGGGAACTCAACCAAAATGGAAGTGTTTAGTTCCAAGATATTTCAATTAAAATAATTAATGACTTCCAGATTGAAACAGGTTAACTGTACAAGAATTTACTTGTCACAGGGTTCGTACAGGTCCTGGAAAACCTGGAAAGTCGTGGAATTTTATTTTGACATTTTCCAGGACTGGAAAGTCCTGGAAAAAGACTTCAGGTCCTCAGGAAAGTCCTGGAAATCTGCTTATCTCAAGTGATAAAGTTTTCATAATTTATGTTATAAGAAATCTATATGGATCATGAAAAGATTTGATTTTGAAATACTGGGAAATTTGGAGGCCAAGAAAAATCAATCTGAGTCCTGGAAAAGTCCTTGAAATTTGTTTCTGAAAAAAGGGTACAAACCCAGTTGTCACACTTCATCACCATGACTTCCTGAACCCTTCAAGATACTGTACTATGGCAGAAAGACAGGATAATTCACAGCCAGACCTTGGCAAGCACAAAGTATTGTTGCATATAAAGTGTGAATTATTTAAGTAAAAAAGTTGGGGAAAAAAATTAAAACTGAATTTGATATTAAAACCATTATTAATAATGAGATTCTTTATTGTAACATTTGAATAGCCTTTAGTTAATGGTTTTCTTATAACTTTGCAGATATGAGTTCAGAACAGTGGGATAAACTTCTTGAAAATAATGGTTGGAACAATGTGTCATTACGAGATGCACGCTATGATCAAGTGATTCATTTGGTAAGGTGCACAATATTGGTGAACCCCCTGTCTATGTATCTTTGTTTGAATTATTTTTTTTTACTACACACTGTTCTGCAAATCCAAGCTTTTTCTGGTTAGATAGAAGATTCAAGTTTCTCAGCTGGAACTGGGATTCACTCCTGTCCTGAAAAATACCTCTTTAAACTTTTGGCATCAATGGACCTTATTATTAATTTTAAACTTTTGGTACTTCAATTCTTGTGGGATGCAGAAATCAATTAAATTTCTTGTAAGTGATTTGAAGCATGTAGTCACATTGATAAACATTCAGATTTAAAAATTAATATTTAATATTGATGTTTTGCAGGTATCAGCTGCCCAAGGAGCAGTAGAATTTTACACATTAGCAAACAACAACACACGAAAGGAACCTATAGAACAAGCCAGGAAATTGGACAGACTAACACAACAGGTCCAGTTCACACCTTAATTAATATTTTACTCAATTCTGCAATGACATAAGATTCAGTCAGATTTTAATTTCTCCTCACAGTGTCAGCCTTGAATCACAAATTCTGATCACAAGATTAAACAAAATAATCACCAAAGAAATAAACCCTTGATTATGGAACAAATTCTCCTTGGCAGCTCCCTAGGAAGTGCATAGAGAAGAGTATGAAGAATATGCATACTGATGTAAGGCTGTAAATGGTTAAAAGGGCATTTTACTCAAATCTGCAATGACATAAGGTTCAATCGGATTTTAACCTTATGAGCCTTAAGAGTGACCAGCTTTCAATTTCTCCTTACAGTATCTGCCTTGAATCACAAATTCTGATCACAAGATTAAACAAAATGATCACCAAAGAAATAAATTCTCGATTATGAAACAAATTCTCCTTGGCAGCTCCTTAAGAAGTGCATAGAGAAGAGTATGAAGAATATGCATACTGATGTAAGGCTATAAAGGGTTGAAAGGGATTACTGCATGTGAACAATATTTGGATGGTGGGGAGTCCCCATCAGGAAACTGCTCAACTAGACGATCGAACAACCATGACAGAAGCACTTCTGATCAACTAAAGGCTTCAAAAATATCAATATTTTATCCCCTTGTATCAATTATGAACAATAAAGTACTAGTCTAGCAACTGATCAAGTGAAAATGAATGACCCAGCTGGATTGTGGTTTGATTCAGCAGGATTAGGGTTGAGGTAAAATTACTTAAACTATAGCAACTGAGGTGTAAATTGAAGAAGAGTAAACTTTAAGCTTATTTTTTTTTCCAAAACAGGCCTGGGTTGGTCACCCATACGTTGATGTGATTGAAAACAATATGGACTTTAGTAAAAAAGTGCGGCGGGCCATTGATGTAAGAAATTTATAGTATACAGATTAGTCAACATTGAAAACTCATTTTTAGTAATGACTTCTCATTTCTGTGTGAGAGGTGAACTAAATGTAAACAGGGTCAGTTATAGGCTGTTTTTGTGAAAGAACTTTGATTTTTAGAGTTAAAAAAATCTAACAAAAAGCAATCTATTTTGCAGGCTGTATGTTTCAGAATGCGTATTGATACTGGAGATCGTCTGTCCCCAGAGAGTGTAAAACGCAAATTCCTTGTTACATCTCTGCCAGATGTCAAGGTAATATTATGCCCTTTTTATTTGTGAATTTACTCCAGGGGTTGTTGTGCTACCATCAAATATCTTCTATAAGGAGTTGATTAAGCTTTAAATCATATTGCCCTTATTTACTCATTTTGTTTTCATTTCAGCTTGAATTGATTATTGTTTATTTCCCTGTAGGCTTTTCCTGTGTTTCAAGACTTTGATGTGGTCCATGACTACCTTTCAACCTCAAATCCAGAAAAACAAGCACGTCTGAGAAGAAGAGGACAGAATGGTAAGTTTGTCTTATGGAATATTTCAGACCCCTGCTAAATTTTCAAAACCACTCAGCAGAGAAGATTTTCACAAAAACTTTTCTCTTTTATCCTTCTTTAAGACCCTCCCCCTTTAGGGAAGTGGCACTTTTTCAAAATTCAGGTGAGGTTTGCAGCATGCCACTTCACAGAGCA